TTTTTGTTAGCATTTTGCTACTTCAGTTAATATTTACAACTTCTACCTTTGGATGAGAATGTTGTTATTTTATATTAACTGCTACTTTTATGTTTTAGCTAGCTTTCAGCTTCTCATTTAAGCTAGCCTTTAGCTTCTTTGCTCCTCCGTTAGCTTTAAATTAGCATTCTGCTTCTTTTTGTTTAAAACATTTAGAATTTTAGCTTCTTCAACAAGTTTCTTTAGTCAACTTAGCATTCTCACAATTTCACAAAAAAATACAATTTCCCTAGTTGGCATTTATTATTATTTTTCTAAAATATAGAAATAATTTGGCCCAAAATATCTGCTGCATTTCTGTACACTGTTTAATAAAAAAATCAAGTCTAATAAATTTCCATCAAAATTAACGAGCTGAATATTTTTTGCATGAAATATTGCAAAGAGGCTTCACAGTTGGGGCAAATATAACAAGTAGAAATTTTATACTAAGATAAATACTTTACTTCTGATAMAATAGTTCAACATTTTGCAAATACTTTTTTAATGATATGGTATTTGTTTTATGTCCACATGCACCTGCACAAACCGAAGTATAGGAAGAAAAATCCATATTAAATGAATTTCTATAAATTTTTTAGATCTGTGTTACAACTTTATGTGCTCAGATTAGCTGTTAGCTTTTCAATCCAGTCCGAATTAAACTCTTTTTTAATCAACTAAAGCTGTTTAAATACCATCTACAACAGGTAAGATATGACTTGTTCACTATTCCACAGAACCCCATGTCAAGATCTCGACTATAAGCCTTTTGTAAATGCTTTCCAGTCCAACTCGTTGAGCTACTTAGTGCTAATGTTAGCTTTTTAGTCACACAAAAACTGCGGGGAAACACGAAGGATTCAAACTGGTGAGTAAACCTTTGAGCCAGGTTACGCCCTTGTATCAAGTCTTTCGCTGAGTTTCTGCTATTCATAACCATAAAAGTATGATGCATGGTGAAAAAAAGTGTCATTAATCTTCATATAAATGGCCAACGATCAAACAATAAGAACATGTGGTCGGACCCTCCAGAGGAGTGTGATGTGTGGCTGAAATAGATCAAATATAGTTATTTAAACAACCTGCCTCCCCCTCAGCAGCTGTCCTTACTGCACACCTCATCTTTTATTCACAAACCACACTGCTGAGCAGTCTCTTAGGAAATGCTCCTTCAAAGTGGTAAACAAGTGATGCCTCTCAGGAACGGGTCAGAGGTGCTGTGAACACGCCCACACTGAAATGCTGTCATTATGCTTTAATCTGCTTGGTAATGATCATCTCAGAAACTCAGATCCTGGAACTCGGATCAAAGAATAGGTGATTGTTTTGCACGACACAATTGGGACTCGAACTGGGCTCGAACCTGCAGCCTCAGGATCACGGGACTTTGACCCTGACCAGCCGCAGCCCTCTCGCCTTTTGTAACCATGGCGCTCAATCTTCTGGCTCTCATTACAAGTGTTTGTAATGGATGTTGGACGGAAGTCAGTGTGGAAGTAAATTTACTGACAATGTCATCAAAACAACTTCAAACCACGTACTTTTCCACGTACTCTTACATCACCGAAACAGGCCTGGTGGACTGCGTGAGGTAAATACAGCTGCTGAGAAGTTACAGCAGATTGCATAAACAGGATGCATCCATGGCTGGTGTTAAGTGGAGTGTGTGAATATACGTTAAGGGGTGGCTTCAGTGGAGCGAAGGGCCTTGTCTGCACTTATAGCATCTATTTGCAGCTTGGTCAGCAGATATTTTGGTTTTTAAAGGGATCCCTGATTAGTTGCAACATTAGACTTTATTTGATAAACATATATTTTAACTGTAAAATAAAGACTGTAAAAATACTGTAGGCTGTTTAGTTTTTATAATTTTTAAACTAAAAGTTAAAAAATATATTACACGGACAGGGCCATTTTATTTACACGCAAAGCATTCTGGGTAAGAGATGACGTGAATAGGTCCTCGGTGCGAGGCTGCTAGCGAGCTATATCCACCCTGAAGGTTAATCTTGGACAATATCTGATGATCGACTCTTTTAAATGAAACCAGAGAGCGTTGACAGAGAGGAGAAGGTAGAAATGACTCAGCCTGTAACTGAAAATATGGATGGAGGACAACAGAGCTGCTTCATGGAAGAATCTCAGCTTAGCCTGTTAGCTTTAGCGTTAGCGCCGATGCTATCACCATATACTGTATATGTATTAGCTCAGTGCTACACATTCTCCTCTCGTCACTGAGGTCCTCCATCCACATGACAGAGAGGGGAACACAAAAATGACTCAGCCTACAACTGAAAATATGGATGGAGGACCTCAGTTTAGCTTGTTTGACGTGCTAGCGCTGAGCTAATACATAAAAGGCAATACAGCGTCTGCGCTAGCGCGAAGGCTAACAGGCTAAGCTGAGGTTCTTCCTTCATGAAGCAGCTCTGTTGTCCTCCATCCATATTTTCAGTTACAGGCTGAGTCATTTCTACCTTCTCCTCTCTGTCAACGCTCTCTGGTTTCATTTAAAAGAGTCGATCATCAGATATTGTCCAAGATTAACCTTCAGGGTGGATATAGCTCGCTCACACCGAGGACCTATCAATGTCATCATTTACCCAGAATGCTTTGTGTGTGTAAATAAAATGGCTCTTTCCGTGTTAAAATATATTTTTAAAAATTTATAAAACTAAACAGCCTACAGTATTTTTACAGTCTTTATTTTACAGTTAAACGTTTATCAAATAAAGTCTAATGTTACAACTAATCAGGGATCCCTTTAAATGTACTTACAAGCTGCCACACAAGTTACACTGGCTGTGCCTTAAAACCTAAGTGTTGTCAGACATTATGAGGTCAGTTCTTCCTCCAAAATAAAAGCTCGCACATCACTTTTCCCTTCTAACTGTTTGGATATCAGCACTGCAACCTGTAGCCAAACAGTTCCTGACACTGACGTTGAGATTCCACATCCCTTATGACTCAGTGGGACTGCAGTCATTTCCAAGCACATCTCTGTTACATTAAGAATCAGCTGAGCTGTTTCTGTTTTACACCATGAACTCCGCACAGCTGCGTTTTTCCAAAATGGCAAATTACTTTGATTCCCCTCAACGTTTACCGCCTCCAACAAGAAGAATGGATCCGGAATGAGAAAATTAGGTAGCTGGATGTCACACAGCAGCTCAAGGGTTGCGTAAATGTTTCGGGCTGTTAGTTTGTTTCAACAGCTTGTTAAGCCCAACTTGAAGTTCGGCATGTGGGTGGCGTCTGATCAAACGGAGACACTTTTAAAAGGAACAAAACATCATCATCTGTATGACACAGTGTAAAAAAAACAAAATACATGTGAGAATACCCCTGCTGACTATATGTGCAAGCTTTCCAACAATAACACATGCTGGTGCAGAAGTATAAAACCCACTCCATGACCACCTTGGTTGTGTTCCAGGTTGAGCCGGACCACCGTGGTGTTTGGGTCGACTTGACATTCCGAGAGCTTCGAGTGTTGCTCGTCAAATCCTCACAGGTGATCTAATGAGGCAGACTTTGTTTTTCCTCTGTGAAGAAGAGGTGTTTTTATTACTTGGAAACAAAAAAAGTCCTGCGTGTGAATTAGCTGGAAGAAGCCTTAATGCATTTATCTGAGGAAGAAAGAAAGGGGAAGTACCTCGGGAGGTTTGTTTGGTTTGCGTTCAAAAAATCTTGTAACTTCCTGCAGTGAAAGCAAAACAACAAAAACAAAAAATTTATCTTCTTTGAATAAAAGAAAAAAGTTCCTTGAAAATAAAACTTACAATAATAAAAGAGCATAGTGAGAGAAATGCTCTTTACTGAACCAAACTATAGCTTTTAAAAAAATAATAAAATAAAACTGTGAAAAGAGCATGCACAGTAAATGCTGAGGTATAATTTTGCACATTTTATTTTGAAATCTAAAGCTGATATGTTAAATTTATATTCAGCAAGAGAGCTAATAAATGTAGCAAAAGACCAGCTGAAAGTTGTAGTGCCATAACGCTTGTTAAAAGGTAAAAATGGAAGAAAGGGCTTGCTATAAGGGTCAAAAACCTACCTACAAGCTAAAAGTAACAAAAGTCTAACTAAAAACATAAAGTAAAAAAAGATAATAAGCTAAAATTTTGACAGCTAACAAAAAGGTTCGCTAACAGCTAAAAGTGACAAAGGGCAACCTGAAAAATGACTAGCTAAAAGCATAAAAAGCAGAACATTAATTAAAAGCTAAAATATAGCAAATAAATTCAAATACAGAACTAATATGCTGAAGCAGATTTTAAATAATGTTGAAAGAATTAATGAGATCTCAATGTGTTTTATGGTGAAATATTTGTAAAATAATTACATATGTTGAATATTATTAAAGTTACCGAAAAAGGTCTAATATATGAATGGGTAAAATAGTGCAAATTATGCAGAAGTTTGACTGAGAAAAAGAAAAAAAAGTACAAAAGAATAGAAAGCCAGGAAAACAAAAGTGAAAACAATAACTTAGTATTAACTTAAGTTTGAGATTAATTGTTGTTTGTAATGTTCATGGAGTGAGAGCTGAGATCTCATACCTTCAGTGTAGCTCTTACTAGTCAGAAGTGTATTTGTAAACTTTCAATATAAAAATCAGATAATTGTAATGTAATTTTGAGTTAAAAACTAAACAAAAAAACACAAGGTTGTACAGTATTCATTTTGGACCTAGATTTTATAACTGGAATAACAAGGTAGTAAATGCAATAGTGTGTACTTTTAACAATCACATCTAAAAGTGGAGTTTCTTCTTGTAAGACTCTTTGTTTTAGACTAAACAATGTTTATTGTCCTTGCAGTTAGCTTCAACTGGAAGTGCAGATTATATGTTACAACGGCCTGCCATATTTCCCATTTCGAACTTGATGACGTTCCACTGCAGCGCCTGAGAGGCCGTTCTCGCGAGATTACGGAAAACAATCCCGACGTCCTCTTTTTTTTTTTCACTGTAACCCCTTCCTCCTCCTCCACAGCCCTCCCTTCTTCCCACGCCCCAGTGCGCTGTGGGATAGTGCCACTATAAAGTATACCCTCTCTCGGAGGAAGATAAGAAGCCCGAGACAAGGAGGGGGATGAAGATGGCGGACGCGAAGCAGAAGAGGAACGAACAGTTGAAGCGGTGGCTGGGCTCGGAAACGGACCAGGAACCTCCCGTTCTCAAAAAGAAGAAGACGAAGGTGAAGTTCGATGATGGCGCCGTGTTTTTGGCCGCCTGCTCGAGCGGCGATACCGAGGAGGTGCTACGTCTGCTCGGCCGAGGCGCCGACATCAACTACGCCAATGTGGACGGTCTCACCGCGCTCCACCAGGTTTGTGTTTCATTACTACCGACAAAAAATGTCAGCCTTCTGCACAATTGGACACAAAAAAGTGCCTGAAACAACTTGTCCTGGAACACCTGTCAAATGGAAGCCATTCTCATCCCGTTGTTTACCTACCTAGCTCTCGTCTTCTTCGACGCGAAGAATGGATTGGCTTCTGGCTGGATCTTAATATTTAATATACAGCCTGTGTACAACTAACACAACTACTTAGCTATTCGGTGTGATTTTCCCCCATTTTGCTTTTTAAACTTGTGTTTCAAGTGTTTGGGTGCAGTCTATTTGCTGTTGTGCTGCAGTTCACAGTTGTCATTTTATCATGCTGCAAACTACCTTTTAAAACACAAGGTTTTGCTCGTCGTGTTTTATTTGTGATACAGATAATATAAGCGATTATTAAAACTAGCCACATAGATGCTAATAGAAGCAAAATCACAGACCGATTGATTCCAACAGTGGACGGTGTTGTGCAGAATATAGGCATCCCTGGAAAACGCATTTTTGAAGGCGGTTTAATAATAAATATAATTAGTTAAAATAAAAGCGTTTTGTGCTGGTCACAACCTTTCAAAGCACACTTATTACCTCGCATATGCTGTGTTTTTTTTTTCTTCCGGCGTAGCACCGGCTACTACCTGGCTAGCAGTAAAAGTCGTTTTGTTGATAAACCCGCAGCTGCGTCTGTGGCTACTCTCTGGAAAGAAAACAGTAGCTGTCGAATTATTGTTTGTTGTTGTGGCAGAAACAAATGTAACAATCGCAGGGTTTTATTGTGACGCTTCTCTTTTAACACTCTCGCCGACATTGCCGTTTTAAATACAGTGGCAACGACCGCTGATAATGAATGAAACGCCGTCAGAGGCGAGCTAGCGCTAAGTTAGCATGCTAAGTTATCTGTCGCTAGCTGTTTGGGAGTTTTAATTCATTTGTTAGCTGACTCGACGAGCGACACGTTCGGTTCTCAATACTCTCAAAGTTTCGCATGTAATATATTTGCTGTGTGCACACTAAACACGATGTTACTTGACGTTTTTTTTGGTCGGGTTGACATCGTTGCCAAGCTAACAATTTGCCCGCTAATCGTTAGCTACGTTCACTAGCATCTCTGCTGGCTGGGCTAACCAGACATTGCGGCATTAATAGGCCACCGAATCTTTAAACAAGCTTGAAACAAGGATCTTAACATAACAAATAAAAACATCCGCGACAGAAAAAAACGACCCTTCTTGTTAGTAATTATTTGATATTAAAGATTGAGCGAAAGTAGCACATAAGCCCTGCAAGAAACATTAGCTTATAATTATTAGGTCTTCTTTAACCTGAATGTATTGAGCTTTGATCATAGTATTAGATTTAAAGTATTTAGTTTATGGCTTTATTTAAACAAATATTTAACATAATTTATTAGCAGCAGAAAGTAAATGAATCTGTATATCAATGCACCTGAAATGCTTTATGTCCTTAAACTGCTTAATATTTCCCATTTATAGTCTTGAAAAGCTCATCAACACAAGTCTGATTAGGTCTCTTTACTCCACTTTATTTGACTGTCTTTTGCAGTTTCCTATTTTTTTGCAATACTCCTAAACCTATGTTACTAGTTGTGAGAATATCTTATATGGCATAGTCAGTCCATATGATGCAGATTTTTGTGATACATAAAACTAATAAGCTGTTGGAGAGATACATAGAGAGCAAGTTGCTACTTTCAAAATAAAAGTCTATTGTTTGTCAGCAATAGAAAGACTGCCTATCACCTAGGGCTGCCTCGATTAATCGACGACTAATTTAATAATCGATTAATCATTTTTTTTGTTCTTTACTTTGTTTTTCTCTCCAAACTGCTTTGACACCTTCCACTGCCACATCTGCCTTTCTGTCCTTGACACACATGCACAGTAGTGGTAACTGGGGTAGGCCGTGGACGTCACAAGACATTATACAGACAGGCTCTGGTATCATGGCTACCCAGCAACGGAGCTCAAAAGTGTGGGATCATTTTAAGAAAATGAAAGAGAAACCTGTGTAATATCTGCAGAGCAGAGCTTGTCTTCTACAGCAATTATTTTTAGTTAGCATATAGCTAAAATCTAACCATGGTTATATAATAGCAGCTGCAGTCTGACGTGATAAGCTGTATGTTTTATGTTCAATTAACGTACGATCCGATTAGTCGACTAATCGAATAAATAAGCGGTGATTAATCGTTTATTAAAATAATTGTTTGCGGCAGCCCTACTATCACCTATCTTAAGCAAACTTGGTTACTTGTTGCTCAAATCCTGTCTGAAAGCAACATTAGGAGGGGCTTTTATTGTAATAATTTTAAACTAAAAGGCAAAATGTCTTATTTCCGAACCTAGTTGAACATATCAATCTAATGAATTGTATTGCATTTTGTCTTCTCTAAATTGAAGATAGACAGGATATAGAATAAGAAATTTAATGTTTCCTATTACAAACATCCTTTCATTTTTTAAATTGTGTTGCCTCCAGCTTATTGCCTCGTTGATGTTAAAGTGTATCAGACTTCTATGCAAACTGTTGCAGAACAATTGCGTTTTTGCAGTTTCTAACATGCTCTAAATAGTGCAGCAACATGTTTTTATAAGCCTGTTCTCTCATCATTCCACTAAAGTGCCCCCTCCCCCTATGCAAATTATTACTTATTATTACCGCCATGACAGTTACAATGAGCATATACAGTCCATTTCAAAGTCCAGCAAGGATTGTTTCTTATTCTGCTCGCTTTGATAGCAAATGATCTAAGGATTAACAGAAGGATTCCTGCGAAATGTTTTAATGTTGGCAGAGGTCAACAGTGATGTCACCGCATTGCTCACATCCACATGTCTGGTCGTGGTAGGAAAGTGTGAGGGCTTTCTGAGTGCACTGCCTTTCTACAAAGTCCTTTCGTTAACTTGAAAACGAACCAACTGGACGTTTAAAGAGCAAGTTTTCCAGTATACATAACTGCGTAATAATGCTGTTTAATAAACCCTTTTCACGCTCACATTCTGCTATAATTAAATCTGGAATTAATGACGCCCTGTAAAAACCGATCGGGGGGTATGTTGCCTTTTTTTGGGGTTTTGTCGAAGGATGAGCAGCAGTGAGGAAAGAATTTGCAGCGCTGCTCTTTCTATCTAACCATCTCTAAAGACGAGAAGCTCCTGGGACTGTGTGAGAGAGATACATGAGATCCCTGAGATTTGGGGCTTTAAAGAAGACTTTATTAAGGGGGATGTAGGGATTTGTGTTGATTTTCTTTGATAGATGGAAGAAGAATGAACAGTAGATGACTAGTTGTGTTCTCATATGACTTTATCACAGATTTTTATTGCTTTATTAATATAGTTTGCGTTTGTACGGTGCTCTAAGATGAGTTTTGTTCCGTTTTATCATTATATAAATAAGCTGAGTGAATAGTTTAACTTTAAAARGACTCACTGACCTCTGCCTTTGTTTTTAAGGGCGTCAATGTTCCGGTTTCTCACTTGTATCTCGATGATCGGTGTGGCGTTTAAAAATACCATCACAAGTTCGAACTGGGTTTTAGGAGATGCTACTAAGTTTGGAAATGACTCACCGTCTGTAGCCCTGCTTTGCACTGCAGACCTGGTATCATTCAGGCAAGAGGTTGCGTATGAGTCACAGGCCCTCTTGCATCTGAAGGACCCGGACACGCGACCTGTAAATGTTGTTGCAGTTAAGTAATGCGATGCCAATGGGTTTACTCAACCGTAAACCGCACAGATGCAGGTGCGTAGAAGAGGGATGTATAACGAGTAAAGATTCCTGATTCCCATCTCGCTGGCTGAACTGGTCTCAGAGCGTCGTCCTACCCTGGGCATTCCTCACATGACGGTCGCTGGAAACCATAGCAAAGACAGAGGAGAGAAGACATTCCTCAGCTGTCACTTAAACCCCTCCCTTTTAGTCATTCTCTCTCTCTATCTCCGGCCTGCCTTTCCTTTTTTACAATGCTAAGGGTCAGTGCGGTGTGGCCCACCGAGCTTCTCCAGTAAAACGGGAGGCACCGAGGACTTGTTGCTTCACGCTTGAAAATGTCCTCGCTGACCTACACCTGAACTCTTCTCTTGCCCGAGTCTTATAGCCTTTGCCGGGGTGATGAGGCTCAGTTCAGCTTAGTATGTTAGCATGCTTATGTCACAGTCCCTGTGCTCTGTTGATAAAGTATTACACAGCCCGAAGATCTATGGACATTATCTTGCACTGTCTCCATAACAACGGTTCGGAAGGTTACCAGTCACTTGCGTTGGTGGATTTGCATGGACGGAGTGGGAGTTGCATAACAGCCTGTACAGAGAGAGTCTGGCTGTGTTTGAAAGGAGAATCAGCCTTACAAAAATAAATAAATAAATAAATAAAAATCAGCAATGGAATGGGATCATTTCGAAGCATGCGGTAGAAAAAAAAAACAGACGTGATGATTGGATCCTTTTCTGACCTGACCAGCCTCGGTCACATTAACACATGACATAATTGCTGTAAGACTTGCTGCAGCCCCTGTCCTGATTCTCAGCCGTGTCTGAGGATTGCCGTCGGCCGATCAGAGGAGCCTTTGACGTGTCTTTGCAGTCCTGGTAAAGGCAGCGGGACATGAGGCCTTCTGTTTCCCTGCCTGAGGGAGAAAATCCTTGTGCGTTAAATTGAGAGAGGCCCTTTTTAGGTGAGACGATCAAAACGTGTGCTTCAGATTACATTCAGGTCCTCCCGTTGCCCTTACCTGTTCTGTTGGCTTAATGCTTTAAAGTTGCAAATTAGTGACTCAGACTTATTCTACCAAAGATTATCAAGCATTTGGCTTAACGCTTTAATACGGACTTCATTGTCTGATGAATGCTGGGTAAAGACTGCACAGGATCGTAAAGATGAGTTTGATGCAGCAGCTTGTGGGTTTTGTATCAAAGGTGAACAATAAATAAGCTGATTATAGTGAATTTATTGTTAAATGTTTTATTTAA